TGCAAGTGCAGATGACACATTAGTACCTCCCTCATTGGGCACTGGCATGTGTGGTTAATGGCCAAATTCATTTAGGGAAATGCTGGCACTGCCCACACATGGTTGCTGGTATCCTGCTTTGGGCACTTGTTAGTGCCTAGCCTCGCCCTGAAATCTCACTTAAGCCTTCAAATCCCTCTTGCTGTTATCTTCCCACCTCACTGTGTCTCACAGATCCCAGTAATTCAATTTGAAGAGGATTATCTATTCATTACAAAGTTCAAAGACTACAGGAAAATAATCCCCTTTCTACCTTCAAACCCTCTATCTCAGATCACTGCACATTTCATCTCCAGCCCTGGGTTAAGACACATATGATATTATAGGGCATCATCTGGGCATGGTGGCATGCACCTGTAATCCCTATACTTGGAAGGCTGAGGCAGCAGGATTGCTGAAAGTTCAAGGCCAGCTTTGGCTACATAATGAGTTTAAAACCAGCCTGAACTACAAAGCAAGACTCTGTCTCAAAAAAATGAAAAAAAAATTTAGAGCAACTTAGATTAGGATGGAAAATGCTGAAATGTATATTTTCCCATGTATCTGTTACACATCTGAAATTTACCATTTTGGGATATAGTCGGAAATGAAATGCATCCACTTGAAAAAAAGATTGCATAAACTGGGCATCGTGGCTCATAGTGTGTGTTCCCAGCTGAGGCAGGATGTGGCTGTGAGTTTCAGGCCAACCTGATATACACAGTAAGACCTTGTCCCAAAAAGTGAAAAATAGGCAAAGAACCCACCCCATCCAGCCTGTGCCCACAGCGGCAATCCACTTAGCCCCAAGGGCACCTGCAGGACCCCCACCAACCCCCACCCCAACTCCTCCCAACCCCACTCCTCTGGCCTCTTGGCTGTACTGCCACCTGGCTCCACACTACAAAGACATAGGGGATGCCAGAACACCAGACCACCATACTGGGTAAATTGGAGGGATCATCACCTCCCATCAGAACCTGGACTATCTTCAGGGGAAGGGCAGCTGGAACCTACAGTAGAGCCTTTCAGAGTTCAACCCTACAGGAGGACAGGGAGCTCAACTTGGGACTTGCCTCCAGAAATCTGCCTAAATCTCACTCATCTGTGATTGGCTTGCTGAGACTCATTGACCTACATCTGCACACTGCTGGCCATGTTGTCTATTGTGACAGCTGAGACATACCCTGAAGGAGGCCCTTCATTTTCATTTTTATTTTTTATTTCCAAAATTAGTATTATTGGTTTGTTTTTCTCTTTTTAATTTTTTCCCCTACTCTTTGCAAATTTTTGTTTTTCTCTTCTTTTTCTTTCTTCTTTCTTTTCTCTTTCCTTTCCCTCTCTCTCATACTCACTCTCTTGCTGACCTACATTGTTCTTCATCTCCCTTTTTGTTCCTGTTCTGGCCCTAATTTGGATTTCTTCTTTATTTTTCTTTTATTCTCTTTTTCCTTCTCTCACTTGTGTCCTCTGGCCTCACTGCTAACCTTCCCTTATCCTTCTACCTATCTATCCCTCGCTCTCCAACTCCTTCTAACTCCCTATCCTGAAAGTTAAAGTTGCTATATTGAAGAGTTTATTCACTATAAACATCTGTTGGGTTGGTCCTCAGATTTCTGATTCACACAGTTAAAGGTGATAGATTAATAATTACCACAAAATGTCATTTTCTAAGATGTACTTGATGCTATGGTGTTGCTGATTGTATCACTTGGGGTAAGGTGTTGTGATTGACCTAGTCAGTGGTCCTTCCTAGTATAATGAAAATGAGATAGCCTCAGAGTCATTAGAGACTCAAACCCTAAAGACCAGATATATCTGGAAGACACCTCTGAGAAGCAATCATTCCATAAGGGTTCTAATTACAACCAACAAAGATACTTACAATAAGCAATTTTGAAGCATCAACCCAGGAATTAAACCAAGGATGGTACCAAAAACAAAAATGAGAAGACATTTAAGCAAGGCACAAACTCAGACTTCCACCCCACCAAGGGTAAACTCTGGGGGAAATGAGATGGAAAAGTCTGATAATCAACAGCCTGGACACCCTGAACTGATAGCACAGGAAGTAACAAAACAGATGAATGAGGCTCTAGAAAAATTCAAAGCAGAAATAATCTCCCACATAACTACAGGGATGGTGAGCAGAGTGAAAGACATGATTAGAGGCTCTAGAACGGAAACAGATAAAAAAAAATAGATGAGCTCAGAAACACACTGGAAGCCATGAATGCCCAGCATAATAAAGAAATGGAAACTATGATCGCCCAGTATAAGAAAGAAATGGAATCCATGAAACAGATTCATACAGATATTCAGGAGATTAAAAACTCCATTGAAAGTATCCACAGCAGATTAAGGGAATCTGAAGACAGAATATCAGATATAGAAGACAGGATCACAGTTAAGGACCATGAAAACCGAGATTTCTTAAAAATAGTACGGGACCATGAGAAATCAATCCAGCAGCTGCTAGATGATACAAAGAAGAATAATATAAGACTGATAGGAGTCCATGAAAAAACAGGAGAAAGTACAATTGACATAAAAAAACTGTTCACAGCAATAGTAGTGGAAAACTTCTCAGGCAGAGGTAGAGAATTGCACATACAGATAAGTGAGGCATATAGAACTCCAACTAACCATGATCAAAAAAAAAAACTCTATGCCTACACATATAATAGTCAAGATCCCAGAAACCCAGCAGAAGAACAAAATCCTACAGGCAGTTAGAGAAAAGAAACAAATCACCTACAAAGGAAAGCCCAACAGAATCACTGCAGATTTCTCAACACAAACCCTCAAATCAAGGAGAGCCTGGAGTGAAGTATTTCAAGCCCTAAAAGAAAAATACTTCCAACCTAGACTGTTGTATCTGGCAAAATTATCTTTCAAAATCGGTGGGGACATTAGATAATTCCACAACAAAGAACACCTGCGAAATTTCATGAACACCAAACCAGCACTCCAAACCATTCACAGCAATATCCTAGAAAAAGACAATGAAGGTCACAACTCCATGAGGCCCAACAGAAGGAAGCCACCAGGCAAGGAAAGAAACTAAAGGGAAAGGAGAAAAAATAAATAAAAGAGCCAACAACAGTAAAACATCAAGACAAGGATGAAACAATATCAATTATAACCATCAATGTTAATGGCCTCAATTCAACAATCAAAAGAAACAGACTGGCAGAATGGATTAAGAAGCAAAATCCAACAATATGCTGTGTATAAGAAACATACCTAACTCAAAAAGAAATTCATAGACTGAAAGTAAAAGGATGGAAAACAGTTCTTCATGCCATAGGAACCCAGAAAAAAGCAGGGGTAGCAATTTCATTTTCAGACAAAGCAGATTTCAAACCAAAACTAATTAAGAGAGAGAAGGCCTTTAAGGAACAGAGCTTCATAGTGCACATTTCCACACTCTGCTCACCATGGACTGCAGTATAGCTTGGTG